GCGGACCTAACACCAAAAACTCGTAAACCCTAAACCCTAAACCCTAAAACCAGAAAATCGTCGTCAGGGCCGGGTGTCGCCGCCGGCCTCTCCGAATGCTTCGCCCTGCTCCGCTCAGAGGCATCGTCCCAGGGGCCTGCCCCCCCCCTAAACCTCTAGGGTTTAGGGGTTTAGGGTTTAGGGTTTAGGGTTTTAGGGTTTGAGGGTTTTAGGGTTTAGGGTTTAGGGTTTTAGGGTTTAGGGTTTAGGCTTTAGGGCTACGGTTGCAGCGGTTGCAGTTTCCAGAAAGGGATCGGGCTCGTGTATAGGAATGCAGGCTCTCTGTAGTCGATTGAGGAACCTGTGCAACCCTTCAGGATAGCAGTGATCCATTTGGAGGGGTCAAGGAATTGATGTAGTGGTAGGAACAATTCACAACAGTGATCTCGTCTTTTAGACGAGATCCCATACCAACACTTGTACTTGTAGCATCATCTGCGCACAAAACTCATTTTCAGGCCTCTATGTCAGCATTCACACTGTACCAGGAAAAAGATAGGCCTGCACTGTTTATTATGGGTACCCTTACGGAGCCCTTGAAGTGTGTCAGGTGCATGGACCTGTTGGGATTAAGTTGGGTCTAGCTCCACAGGCCAACGGATCAGGCAGCCGCAGATGAGGAGGACTTTGCCCTAAGTGAGATCCTAATTTGTGATGTGGTCTTGTATTTCTGCCAAACAACTACTTACGTACTAAGTCACGCGACCTTCCAAGTAGACAGGCTAAAGCCCTGTAACCAACGAGCTTTAGCTTAATACTCTAAGGGTCCAAAGCGAGGTACTAGGGATTCATAAAGCTTTCACGTCGATCCGTGTTTTACGCACTTGGACAAAAAGGGCCAGTTGAATAGGTCACCTTGAACCTGTGTGACTTCATGTAGCCGCATTATAATCCGAAGGTGCAACCATACACCCCAACCCCTCCGGTTTTCCAAAAGCAAAGGCCTCGAAAGGGTTTAGGGATCAGTTTTCAGAAAGATCGAGGGCGGATAGTTCAAGAAAGTGTGAAGACTGATTCGGTTTAACTCAAGTTTAGGCTTGGGCTTCGATCGTGTTTACGTTTTTTCTCTGACATGTTCCCTCAGGTTTGATGCATGTAACTTGCTTTTTGGGCCAGAGCATATCCATCAGTAGATCACAGCATCAATCAAGTGCGATTTGCGATTCAGAACAGAATATGTCGTACAGTGTCTGGCAGACAGGACGAAAAAGGGATGTCTTGACTACGCCAATGTCCGGTATAGACCTTCGCCTCATCAACTTGGTATGAAAGTCCGTGGTTTAAGGTGGTGAGCTTCCGGATGTAGTGGAGCACTCATGTAGGTTTCAGGAGCAAGGATTCTACGGCAACGGCTTAAGGTTTAGGGTTTAGGGTTTGCAGGGTTCCTGTTCATTCAAGCCTCGAGCGAGGGACAGGAGACGCTGGAAGACACGAACAGCGAGCTGCACGTGCTCTGCAAGAAGGCGACGATGGCGGAGCGCAGATTTCGGTGACAGCTCTCGCCGCAGAGGCTGGTCGGAACTCCTCAAGCACTTGCATTATGGCGAGTGGGCATTGGCAAAGGTGTGGGCGTTTGTGCGGTTAAAGGCCCAATGGCCACTAAACGCCTTCTCTGACAATGAGCCCGCTGACACCATTGACTCTTGCCCGCATTGTGGC